GATTATGTATAGGACTGAAGGTCCACATGGGCCACGGTGATATGACCCACCGACCGGGATGCGCCAGGCGGTATGGGGCCAACAAGCCGAGGAAGGTTGTAGTCCACCGACCTGAGTAATCAGGCGGTGTGTAGGGCTACGACTGGCTGCGATCCACCGAGTGGTGGGATATCGGTATGCAGGACCGTAGTCTCCGAGGATCTTTGCCCACCGACTGAGTTTAGCTCAGCGGTGTGTCGGGCTTGATCTGCTACGGCCCGCCGATTGTGCGCACCAACGGTGTGTAGGGTCGTAAGTCCCCCCTAGTAAAGGGGATCACGGTCCACCGACTGGGCGCGTCAGCGGTGTGTCGGATCGTGGTCCGACATTGAGTTCGTCAGCGGTTCTCCAAGGGTTGGTTGTGGTTAACTCCCCTCGTACTGCGGTACTGAAGTAGGGTGCTGCGGGGCCGTGTTAATGCTATAGGCATTAACCCTCATGTTCGGGGCATACGATTGGTCCTGTGGCGCCATCGATGATTATGTGATATGAATGATGATTGAATGATGATGTGTTTGAATTGAAAAGTGATCTGTGACCTTAGATGCGTATTCCTTATGATGTTATCTCTACTTAACCGTTCATCATTGATTAATGTGCTTGTCCCTATTTGCTGAGTCTATCCCCGATTTTAAAGCTAGAGTCTCCTAAGTATATATCTTCCTGCTTCAAAATGATTTTCCTATATCTATATCTATATATATACCTATATTGTATTTCAACGCATTGGAGTGGGTTACCAGCATCTCTCGCTGAACAGATATATTTGGTTTTCAGGCACAGAGGAGTAGACACTAGAGCGCGCTAGAGATTTGGAGTGTAGAGTAGATAGTTTCCCTTTCGGCCTGCATGCCATGCTCATGTATTTACATTATTGAGGATATTAGTTAGTTAGCCTGTGCACCTGAGTTCTCTAGCTCAGGTGTGGCATAGCACCCCATACTCTATTATATTATGTTTTGGGATTTAATGAGAATTTACCTTTATTTCATAAGTCTTAAAAGTTTCAAAATTTCGGGGTGTTACAAAAATAGAGGGAAGATTGAATCTTGGAAGCAAAACTTGGAATCTTGACAAAGGCTTCTTTTGGCTTGAAGAACAAGCTACTCTTGTTTTCTAGAGAGAAGGTAGAGATATATTTCTAGGAAATGTAAGGGAATGAAATGAAGAAGTCTTCTAGGTTTAGGTTACAAAACTAGCTCTTGGTGAAAAGACAAGGATACCCTTACTAACTCTTAGAAAGTGTAAGGAACAAGGGAACTCCTCTCAAAGCACAAGGTACAACACCACTTAAAGATTGACTAGTCAAATACTAGTCCTTGAGTATCAAAAATCAGAATTTTAGGAATCAATTCCTCAAAAGAAATAGAATTAATTACTCAATTAATTCATGGTTTGGAGTGTGGATTTTTGGGGTGTCACATCCTCTCTCCCTTCATAGAAGTTTCGTCCCCGAAACTTGGGTACAACGAATTAAGAACGAAAGGTAACAAGGAAACAAAATTGTGACAAGAAGTCCAAGAATATCCCTTTTGGTCAAAAACTCCAAAAGTTCTCACAAGGTTCCAAGGCAAAGAGAAAGACATTACGAATTCAAGGATAGGCAAGAGGTCAACAAACGGATAGATTGGCATCAAGAACTCTAACCTCAACACAACAACCAACTTCTAGACAACAACCAAGGACTAAACTACTAACCCAAACACCAACTAACAAACCAGCTAAACAACAAGGCAACAAACAAAGCAAGCAAGCACACAAAGCACACAACAACCAAAGAAACAAGGTACTTTCCACAAAAAACTCAGGGTACCGCTCCCGCATCGATGCCTCCAGCTCCCAAGTAGCTTCTTCAACCCCATGATGAGACCACCAAACTTTTACCAACCTAACAGATTTCCTGCGAGTGTCCCGAGTCTTGAAGTCCAAAATTCTGAGCGGCCTTTCTTCATAAGACAAATCTTCATCTATCGGTAACACTTCCGGTGATAAAACATGAGTCGGATCATGAACATATCTCTTGAGCTGTGATACATGGAACACGTTATGCACTCTGTCCAACTCCAAAGGCAACGCCAAACGGTAAGCCAAACTCCCAACTCTCTCCAAGATCTCATACGGACCTATAAACCTAGGGCTCAACTTCCCTTTCTTCCCAAACCGCATTACTCCCCGGGTGGGAGATACCTTCAACCAAACCTTATCCCCAACTGAAAACTCTGCTTGTCTTCTAGCCAAGTCAGCATAAGACTTTTGACGATTCTGAGCCGCTTTCATCCTTTCTTGAATCTGTTTAACTTTCTCGGATGTGTCCAACAAGTATTGTGGCCCCAAAACTATCGGATTAACAAGATCCTCCCAACAAAGCAGACTGCGACACTTCTGTCCATAGAGAGCTTCATAAGGTTCCATGCGAATACTCGAATGATAACTGTTGTTGTAAGAAAACTCTATCAAATCCAAATGGTCCTCCCAAGATCCTTGAAAATCTAACATACAAGCTCTCAACAAATCCTCGATAGTCTGAATAGTCCTTTCTGTTTGTCCATCGGTGGCTGGGTGGAAAGCTGTACTGAGACTTAGCTTAGTTCCAAGAGCTGCTTGCAAAGATTTCCAAAATTGAGACAAGAACCTTGAATCCCTATCGGAGACAATATCCCTCGGAACTCCATGATACTTTACCACCTGGTTGACATAAGCTTGAGCCAACTGTGTCATTGTCCAGGTCTCCGTCATTGCGATGAGGCGGGCGGTCTTGGTCAAACGATCAACTATCACCCAGATTTTGTCCTTACCCGAACGGGTCGTCGGTAATCCTCCCACGAAATCCATAGATATAGAATCCCATTTCCCTTGTGGAATTTCTAACGGATGTACCAACCCCTTAACCTTACAGCGTTCCGCTTTAACCTTTTGGCAATTAAGGCATTTCCCAACAAACTCTGCAACTTCCTTCTTCATATTAGGCCACCAGAAGAAACCCTTCACGTCCTTGTATAACTTGTCTCCTCCGGGGTGAACCGAATAGGGTGTGTTATGACCTTCTTCCAAAATCCGTTGCTTCCACTGATCACATGACGCGGGTATGCACACACGGCTTTTGTACCTCAACACTCCATCCGCGGATAACTCAAACGGTCCCCCTTTTCCTCTAGCTAGGTCATCCCTTACCTTGGTCAAGAACACATCCTTTTGCTGCTCTTCCTTGATCTCTCCCAGAAACGTAGGTACAATCCTTAAGTTATAACAACGAACTTCTGCCTCCACATCTCCTTGTTCCACCACTTCCAAACTCATCCGTTGAAGCTCTTTGCAAAGCTCATCCGCCACCACCCAAATAGAACTAGCGGTGTGCTTCGATTTCCGACTTAGGGCGTCCGCCACTACATTAGCTTTTCCTTCATGATACTGAATATCTAACTCATAGTCCTTGATGAGTTCTTACCACCTTCGCTGTCGCATATTGAGATCCTTTTGGGTAAAGATATATTTGAGACTCTTGTGGTCTGTGAATATCTTGCAACACACCCCATAGAGATAATGCCTCCAAATTTTCAAAGCAAACACCACAGCGGCTAATTCCAAATCATGTGTAGGGTAGTTCTCTTCGTGAACCTTTAGCTGACGTGAGGCGTAAGCAATCACTCTCCCGTTCTGCATCAACACACAACCTAGTCCCTTCTTGGACGCATCGCTGTATACCTCAAAACCTCCCGTTCCCGATGGCAGAATTAAAACTGGTGCAGACGTGAACCTCTCCTTCAACTCTCGGAATGCTAATTCACAAGCTTGATCCCAAACGAAAGGCACTTCTTTTCTTAACAACTTAGTCAACGGTTGAGCCACCTTGGCAAAATCCAAAACAAACCTCCGATAATAACCTGCTAACCCAAGAAAACTTCTTACTTCCGACACTGTTGAAGGTGCAGTCCATTCCTTTACTGCCCGTATCTTGTCTGGGTCCACAGAAATTCCTCTACTATCAATCACATGGCCTAGAAATGTCACACTGTCTTTCCAAAACTCGCACTTAGAAAACTTGGCATACAACTGCTTTTCCCGCAAGATTTGAAGTACCGTCCGAAGGTGTCTAACATGTTCCTCCTTATCTTTTGAATAAACCAAGATATCGTCGATGAACACGATCACAAAATCATCAAGGTGAGATTTGAATACTCTGTTCATCAGGTCCATGAAAACTGCAGGGGCATTAGTCAAACCGAAAGGCATAACCGTAAACTCGTAGTGACCGTACCGAGTCCGAAACGCAGTCTTAGGGATATCCTTGTCCGCTACTCTTATCTGATGGTACCCTGACCTCAAGTCAACTTTGGAGAACACTCCCGCGCCACGTAGTTGATCAAACAAGTCATCTATTCTTGGAAGATGGTATTTATTCTTAATGGTAACTTGATTCAGCTCCCGGTAGTCGATACACAACCTCATACTCCCGTCCTTCTTCTTTACAAACAACACCGGAGCTCCCCAAGGCGATGCACTTGGCCGGATATAACCCTTGTCAAGGAGTTCTTGCAACTGAGCCTTCAATTCTTGCATTTCTGGCGTAGCCAAACGATATGGGGCTTTAGAGATGGGTGCAGTGCCCGGCACGAGATCCACTGAAAACTCCACTTCCCTAGCAGGCGGCATACCCGGTATTTCTTCGGGAAAAACATCAAGAAACTCACGGACTACAGGTATCGTATGAGCCACTTCCTCCTTTGCCTCCAAGTTCTCGACGGAACACAAGTACACATCATTGCCCTTGTCCATGTACCTCTTCATCTTTACCATAGACACCAACTTAATTCCGGGTTCTTCCATCTTTCCACGGTATGACACTCTCTTCCCGCTGGGTCCTCGTAGCACTATCTTCTGATCTTTGCACAAGATTTGGGCTCTAAACCGCCCCAACTAGTCCATACCTAGGACCACATCTATCCCATCCAAGTCGTACTGGATTAGATCACTAGGAAACTCTTCACCTTTGATACAGACCTTTGAAACTCTTCTCCTGACGCTACCTTCACATTAAACTTCACTCCCGCGCCCCCAGATAAGCCCAACTTCTTCACGAGGCCGGGTGATATAAACGAGTTAGATGCCCCTGAATCAAACAAGACTGTTGCCGGCACAGATTGCACGAGGAAGGTTCCCACTACTACGTCACTGTCACATGTTCGGACTTCATTTAAGGTGAGCACCCTCTCTTGAGATGACCCTACCGTCGGATGAGGAACCTCTATCTCTCCATACTCTCTTACATCACGGAGTACCGGCACAGAAGCTGCACTAGAACTTACTCTTGTAGATGTACCACTCCGAATCCACCGTTCAACTACCCCAGAAGCACTGCTAGATTCGGCCAGCCGAGATCTCTTAACCACTTCACTCACATCTTCAAACACTGCGATTCGCTGGCGAGGAGGCATCACAGACTTCTGCTACAACAACAAGGTTACCAAAAGAGCAAGCAAGACAGAAAGCAACACACATCTCACCGCGCAACCTAGAGTCCTAAGCCTAACACTTAGCTTCTTAAGGTCGCTTAGAGGTCTCAAAACACACTTAAACACTTAGAAAGTCTAGACTCAACTCCTCCTAGGCTCTAAACCAAGGTTCAAACCTAGGCTCTGATACCAACTGTAACACCCCCCTAAAACAAGACTACTTAAAACGAGTCTTAACACCTGCAGATCAAGCACAAAACTAGCACAGCGGAAGATAAAAAGATAACTGGATAAAAGGAATCCAAAACGAGGTGTTATGCCACATATACCACACTAGGTATACGCTACGGTGACAATCTGCAAGTGTAACACTATCCCAAAAACAACCAAACTAGAACAATCTAAAGACATTGGCACACAGGCCTCAACAACACTGTCTAAAGATACAGGTGCTAAGCTACCGGCTCTAGACATCGCGCTCAACTACGCATCACCTGAAAGATACAAAGATAAACATTGGGGCGACGCCCGGTCAGCGAAAGATGCTGGTAACCCACCAATACCGTTAAGTATCATAAATAGGTAGATATATAATATGAAAACCATTTTCGAAACGGAATACATATATATAAGTCAAAAGCCAAGATCAAAAGACAACACTAGACTCACCACTCACAAGGATAAAACCGGGAACACATCCCAAACCACAAAGGTTAACCACACACAAGGATAAAGACTCACCCAACGGCAACACATGCCAAAACACCACACCACAAGCCTCCGTGACTACACACGTCACGAGAGAAGAGAACTCACCACAACAACGGCTTCACAAGCCCTCGTGACATCACCCATCACGAGTTGATATGCCTTCCTTATGCCCTGTTCCAACCTTATGGCTACCCCCAACCTTGTACCTTCGGTGCCAACCATTACCTCCAGAAAGCCCCTGTACAGCCAAGTCCAACCTTATTCCTCCGGGACCGTCGTCCCCCACCTATAACCACCAACGAAAACCCACCAATTCACGGCAACACATGCCCAGATAACACAATGTTATCCCCCAAACACGTGGACTCAGCCACAACTCCATGAAATCACGTCACGACCACCACGAGGACCGCTGCAATACCTTGGTGACTAGCGTCCCATACCACTAATCGTGCAATCCAGGTAAAGCCACACACGCACCACCACTCACGCGAAACAAGCAACGGATTGCAACAGAGGTACGAAACATACTCAAATAAGAGACAGGTCACCACCCATCGACAACAACGACGCTAGCATTAGGATAATAACTAGCAAGCTCAACAACGAGGAAACTCAAGATAGTTCCGAGGAACACACAAGACACCACACGGTTCAACGAAACACAATATTGAACACTTAGCACGATACACAACACCAAAGATCCTACATGGATACCTACCAAAAGCTCTAGACCTACGAAACATCAAGAAAACGCTCAAATAGTTCCACAAAAGAACAACGGAAGGCCAAAAGATCAAAGACCAAGAAAAACGAAACACGGGGAACAAATTCCATCTCAACTCCAACGTGTTCCCCGCGGGTGGACCCACGGGTAGGCCCCTACCCGTGGTTCTGCCCGCGGGTACAACACCCATATTACCGTGTACCGGCGGGTGGGCGACGGGTAGGGCTCTCCCCGCCGTTCCGCCCGCAGGTACACGCTCCTGTGTCAAACAATCCCTTCGGGGATTTTCTCCTTCAAACACAAATTCAAGTCCAAAACATGCCAAATCTCACCAAGCACAACAAAATGACTTGAACCAAGGAAAATGCCAAGCAATGGCACAAAGGGAACCTAAACACAAGCTCTAGATATGCAATATCACAAGATAAATGCATAAACTCTCACATTTCATAGCAAAACACAAGTAGAAGCCAAGAAATCATATATAGGTAAGCAAAATAGGTTTTGTAGAGCATGGGTTACCTCTTGAAGACCAAAAGACTCTTCTTACACCACAACAAGCTCTCCACTAAGCTCACTAGCCAAACCCACTTCAAGATCAAACCAAAAGATCATAAAGATCCAACCTTTAAGAAAAAGACAACTAAGATGGAACCAAAAAGACTAGACAAGCTTAGATCATACCCTTCTAGATGCCAAAATAGAGGGAAGATTGAATCTTGGAAGCAAAACTTGGAATCTTGACAAAGGCTTCTTTTGGCTTGAAGAACAAGCTACTCTTGTTTTCTAGAGAGAAGGTAGAGATATTTTCTAGGAAATGTAAGGGAATGAAATGAAGAAGTCTTCTAGGTTTAGGTTACAAAACTAGCTCTTGGTGAAAAGACAGGGATACCCTTACTAACTCTTAGAAAGTGTAAGGAACAAGGGAACTCCTCTCATAGCACAAGGTACAACACCACTTAAAGATTGACTAGTCAAATACTAGTCCTTGAGTATCAAAAATCAGAATTTTAGGAATCAATTCCTCAAAAGAAATAGAATTAATTACTCAATTAATTCATGGTTTGGTGTGTGGATTTTTGGGGTGTCACATTCACCGGTAGGGAAGAAGAAGAAAGGAAGAATTTGGGAAATTAGGGATTGTGGAAAAGATTGGGGAAAAGATGATTTAATTTGGGGATTTGGGTAACGTGAGGATTTTTATAGTTTAAATGTAATTAAAATTGAGTAGGTTCCAAGGAAGACAATTAGCTCAAGTGGTTTAGAGGTTGGGTTGTCAAAGAATAGGCTTGGGTTTGAAACTTAAGGGTTATAATTAAACATTTTGCTTGACTCTTAAGCTACACAATGAAGGATTTTTGGTATGGATTTGTTGACTTCAACTTTCAAAGAATACTTGGGACAAATTTAGAGGATTTCTAAAAAGGATAGTTGCAAGAATGACCAAATATAAGGATTGTAGAATTAACCCAAGCACAACTCATTCCAAAGATGGATAGCCAACTTCACAACGAAACTTATATGCCAAACTAAAGAAGTCACTTATCAAGAAGAGTTTACACCTAACTCCAAAGGAATCATTACCAAAGAAAAACATGCCAAGGATTGCCAAGTAACTCATATAGACAACAACGAAACACAAGATAACACTTCAAAACAACAAGGAACACGATATTCGCGAAAAACAAGGATAGGCTAGGATAGGATTACCTGCCAAATCCTCCTCCACCAAACCCTCAGACTCTGCCTGCGAACGCCCCATCACGAAGACCCTCCCTGGTGGCCTAGCTCCAACTGCTCCACGACCCGAACTACCTCCCTGGGCTCCTCCGACTCCCGGTGGTGGTGGCAACGCTCTCTGACCGGCTTGCTGGGGACACTCCGCGACCTTGTGACCACGATCTCCACATCGGAAATAGCGAAGCACTTGGCCATGACAATCTTGGCCCGCGTGCACCTTCCCACATCTACGGCAAACCACCGTCTTAGCTTGATCCCTTAGCTCCATCCGATTAGGTCCTTGAGATGAGGATGACACGTTCTTGGCTTCTTGAAGGTAGAAGAACCTCCGCTCTCAAACCTTTTCCTGGCTAGCTCGTAAGATCCTTTCTGAAGCTGCTGAACGCGATACAGATCCGCGGCGCTCAGATACGCATCATTAAGGGAACTTGGCCTACTCACCGTCAACGCTTTTCGTGCCTCATAATTCAGACCGGCAACGAATCTCTCAACCTTAGCAAGCTCCGTAGACACAAGCACCCGAGCAAAGCACGCCAACTCCAAAAACTTCTTGTGGTACTCGACCACAGTTAGGGATCCTTGCTGCAGGTGAAGGAACTCATCAAACATGGCGGCTCACACATGCGCTGGGTAAAACCTCTCGCGCATCCTATCCTTAAGCGCGGACCAGTCGTACTCGGGCTTTTCAAGGAAGGACGGACCCTCATGGACCCACCACAGATCAGCTTCTTGGCAGAAGTAGAACGCTGCCAGTTCCACTCTTCTCTCTTCGGGGCAGCCCACAACTGTAAAGATCTTGTCGAACACCCTTAACCATTCTTCCAAGACCACCGGGTCTTCTTCACCCGCAAAGGTGGGCGGCCGATGCCTCGACACCAAGCGACCTATATCACGGTGCCCAGCAGGCGGAGGAGGTGGCACAACGTGGTTGCTGTTCAGCAAGGCTTCACTGAGCGTCTGCATTGTCTGCGTCAACTGGTGGAGATTCTGAGCGAGCTGCTCGTTTGTTGGTGTCTCCGGGGTGCGAGCTCGGGGATGAGGAGGCATCGCAAACTTCTACAACAACAACACGATTACCAAAAGATAGCAAACGAGCAAAGAACAGAAAGCAACACTCAACTCACCGCGCAACCTAGAGCCCTAAGCCTAACACTTAGATTCTTAAGGTCACTTAAAGGTCTCAAACCACACTTAGCCACTTAGAAAGTCTAGACTTAACTCCTTCATAGGTTCCAACCTAGGCTCTGATACCAACTGTAACACCCCCTAAAAACAAGCTATTTGAAAGCCTTAAACATGCAGATAACTGAGCTAAACAACAAACATAGCGGAAGACTAAAGGATAACTTAGATAAACATAAATCCAAATCACGGGGTGTTATGCCACGTTCACCAAAAGGATGAACGCTACGGCAATATCTGCATTATTTACAACTAATCCATAGTCTCAAAAGCCTACAACTAAACTGGCACATAGGCCACAAAACTAGCGGGAGAAGCTACACTAGCAAGCACTAGACTTCGCACTTGTCTAGACATCACCTGAAAGAACACAATAAAACATGGGACGACGCCCGGTTAGCGAATAATGCTGGTAACCCACCAATACATGTGAAATAACATACATAGATAAGATATAAGTTGTAAAGCCATTTTCGAAACGGAATACATAAGTATATAAGTACAAAACCAAGAGCAATAGTTAACACAAGACTCAACACTCTCAACAAGGATACGGGAACACATCCCAAAACCACAAAGGATAATCACAACACAAGGATAAAGACAAGACCAATGGCAACACATGCCTAGGCAACATATGCCCTTGTGACTACACACGTCACTAGAAGAGAACTCACAACAACGGCTACACAAGCCCTCGTGACATCCCCCATCACGAGTTGATATGCCTTCCTTATGCCCGGTTCCAACCTTATGGCTACCCCCAACCTTGTATCTTCTTCCAACCATTACCTCCAGGACCCCTGTACAACCAAGTCCAACATTTTCCCTCCTGGGATCGTCGACCTCCACTAACGACCACCAACGAGACCACCAATTTCATAGTACACGAGGGCACCGTACACACACACAGCAACACATGCCACCCAAGAATCACGTGAACCTTACACAAAGGTCACAACTCCATAATCACGTCACGGCCACCACGAGGACCGCTACAATACCTTGGTGACTAGTGTCCCATACCACTAATTGTGCAATCCAGGTAAAGCCACACACACATCACACCTCAACAGGAATCAATCAACGGATCACAACGAAGATATGAAACCATACTCAATCAAGGAATGGGTCACAGCCCAACAACAACAACGATGAGTAACACAAGTTATCATAAACTAATCGGAAGGTACAAACAACACACACGCTAGCATTTAAACACCGAACTAGCATGCTTATCAAACAGGTAAACCAAACATAGTTCCGAAGAACACACAAGACCCATCACGGTTCAACGAAACACAATGTTGAACACTTAGCACGATTCAAGACACCAAAATCTATATGGAATCCCACCATATAGTTCTAGACATACGAAATATCAAGAAGACGCTCAAATAGTTCCACAAAAGAACAACAGGAAGTCAAAAGACCAAATACCGAGTCAAAAGAATCACGGGGAACAAATCCCCACTATCACCACAATACGTACCCGCGGGTAGGCCCACGGGTAGGCCTCTACCCGCGGTTCCGCCCGCGGGTACAGGCTTCTCGGCCAATGTACCCCGCGGGTGGGCGGCGGGTTGGACCCCTACCCGTCGTTCCTCCCGCTGGTACATCCCTGTACCACAATACAACACTTCGCGGATTTTCTTATCCAAACTCAAATTCAAGTCCAAAACATGCCAAATCTCACCAAATACAACAAAATGACTTGAATCAAAGGAAATGCCAAGCAATGGCACACAAAACCCTAGACACAAGCTCTAGATATGCATTTTCACAAGATAATGCATAAACACTCACATTTCATAGAAAAACACATGTAGAATCCAAGAAATATTCACATAGGTAAGAAAAATAGATTTTGTAGAGCATGGGTTACCTCTTGTAGACTAAAGACTTCACTTTAGACCTCAACAAGCTCCTCACTAGGCTCACCTTCCAAACCCACTTCAAGAACATACCAAAAGATCATAAAGATCCTATCTTTAAGAAAAGACACCTTAGATAAAACCAAAAACACAAGATGAACTTAGATCTTACCCTCATAGATGCCCAAATTAAAGAAAGGTTGAATCTTGGAAGCAACTCTTGAAGTTTTGGCAAGGTTCCAACTTGGCTTGAGAGAAAAGCTACTCACCTTTTAGAGAGAGGGTGGAGCTAGATTTTTAGAAAAGTGTAAGGAGAGAATGAAGTTGGTCTACTAGGTTAGGTTACATTACCAACAACAAGTGAAAGGTCAAGAATACCCTTACTAACATAAGGAAGTGTAAGGAACAAGGGAACTCCTTACAAAGCTCAATGTACAACTTTGACTTTGGGGTTGACTAGTCAATTACTAGTCCCAACTATTAAATTTCAGGAATTTAAGGAATTAAATTACAATTCGAAATATGATTAATTACTCAATTAATCCCTTAATTGAATTTGGATTTCGGGGTGTCACAGCTTTTCTCTCCCTTCTCTTCTCTCGCTATAATAGAAATAATTACACTTTCCTAAATCCTTATTTTGGATCCACTATAAAATGTTGAACCCTGATTTTGTAGCCATTGGCTTCTGTCACTAAGCTCAACTCTCGAACTGCTTGAATAGCAATATATCACCGCCATCAAGTCATCAACACTATCATCAAATTGCATTCATTTACACATGCACGCCATAGAACCGACATGAAACATGTAGGGAAAAAAGCTATCACTACAAAATATCAACAGGCGCGTGCAAGGTCAAGAGTTCATAGTAAAACTAAGATCCTAGTCATATACACAACTAAGCAAATCCACAGCTTCCTACATTATAATCTCATTGCATGACGATGTCATCTATGCTACCATTAGTAACTCAGTTGCAAATAACATACTATCAACAAAAAAAAAAGTGGACAAATAGTGAAGATGAAGACAATGCCAATGCTAATCAAAAGAGAATTAAGAAGACTTAAAAAAATTCAAACCAAAAGTAGTATTTATTTAAACTATCATTTTTAACCTAAATACTTAGACTATCGATTTTACAAAGTTGCAAACTTTTAATCTACTGGCAATTATAAAGAAGCTCCTATATTTATCTTGCATTCATATATTTTGAATTACATATTTAAATAAACAAATTTGACATTCAATTACCCACGTATGAACTTCTCCTATATAATCTTGCATTGATATATTTTGAAATATTTATTTAAATATAAACATTGGGCATTAGTCCATTCGCGCAATGCGCGTGTAAAACTAGTTCTTTTAATATCTGTCAATGATCTATATGCTTGTAATTTGAGATGTCTTATTGCAAATGGAAAATTAAAATTGCAATTGTGGTTGCCATTACTCCCGTTTTTATTTATTTTATTTAAGAAAATAGATGATGGAGAAAATTAACCAGGGGGTCCGAATTAATTAACCTGATTAAATCCAGTTGTTATGACAAGCATAGGATTGAATGAATGTAACACTATAAAAAAACGTGAAAATAGCGACGGAAAATTCCGTCGCTACAAAGGGAAAAATCCGTCGCTAATCGCTTTAGCGACGGATTAGCGACGAAATCGATCCGTAGCTAAAAGTGGCATCGCTAAGATTTTGCGAGGCAATTTTTTTCCGTCGCTAATTTTAGCGATGGATCTTTCCGTAGCTAAACTTAAAAATATACGTCGCTAATTTCCTTTCCAAGATGATTTGAATGATTAAATTTGTAAGGGAATAGTGACGGAATATTCCGTCGCTAAATTTAACAACGAATATTCCGTCGCTATTTTGATTGAAAGGAGCAAAACAGTAAAATGCATTAATATACTTGAAAGAACTGTAGATTGAAAGAATTGTGTATAGCTGCTAATATACTTACATTGAAATTTGAGAAGAGAAGAAAAAAATCCTTACAACTAACCTGAATTTGGGAAATGTCAAAGTGAACAGCAAGCGAGGCTCTAAACTGAGGAGACACGGAGGTGATGACTGCTTTGCGCCTTTGCCTTTGTATCTAGGCTCTGCGTCTCAAGCATAATTGTCTCTGCCAATGTAATGCATCCGCTGCAGTCAATAAATTAGACTAAGCACCTTAAACCAAGATACTTGAATTTCCAAGCTTCAACTTGAACAAACTGAAACATTGTTCAAGCATCCAGTGTATAAGGAAGAAAGAAATACACGAGGATTAATCTTCAAAGGAACACCTCTACCACTTCTAAAACCAAAAATATCCGGGATGAGAAATTCTAAACTAGAACCCATAGCCATTTATAGTACTTATTTCAAATATATTACCAAGATTGTAACCAAGTTATTCCTAAAATCAGAAGCTATTCGGCCCATGACCTACATTGTCATTAAGCTGTGAAGTTCAAGGCTCTAATGAGCATATATTGAGGTTACTTTGTTGCTCACATTATTTTCTGCTCTTGCTAAAATTAATTCCAAATCAAGAAGAAGAAGATAACAGACATCCTAATTAACACATTCAAAGGCATATAAATTAGTATTTTAGAATACCTTTCATCCATAATCATATACAGATCATTATTAAGCTCATAACACATGATAAAAAAGCTCTATCCACTTCAACACCTTAAAACCCCTAAAACAAATTTACAAACACATCTCTCCCCTAAAATAACATACAAATGATTAGAAAAAGGAAGAAAGCGAGGGGTTGTAAATACCTGCAGGCTAAGCAGTCCTTGAGAGGAATTTTAACAGGTCAAAAAGTAAATGAACATAAATAAAGCTAAAAATTCAAAGCAATATAGTGCAAATTTTTTCCATTACTTGAAAACATAT